TTTTTTTTTTTTTAATTTTTTTCTTTTTCTTTTTTTTCTTTTTTTATAAGCGAGAATTTAAAATTCTCGGCCCTGACCAGAGGCCGGAGGGGGCTTCTCATCCGCAACGTCATCTATTCCAACATGCCCTGGAATATCCCGTAGAAAAACGGGTGCGCTTTGTGCACCTCCATAAGAAGATCCCATCGGGAGGGAGCGTGCAAGCGGCTCACAACCTTCTCTGTTGTTCTTATTGATATTGATACTGTTATTATTATTGATGTCGTTGTTATTATCAGTACTGTTATTGATCAATGCTCGCATCTCCCGTTCATTCTCTTCACCGACAGAGTTACCAAGTGGGAGAATACCAAACAACATATTCCCTTCCTTTTCCTGGTATCCATCATCATAAAAGACGCCTTTATTCACTTCCACAGTATTGGTGGCATTACCGTTTGGCGAGTCCTCATGAACATCATCATCATCCTCGTCTGTGAGTTCACATTGCACAATAACTCCTTGAAAGCCATTACGGGCAAAGAAGCGACAGTAAAGGTATGATAAAATACTGCCAATGACAAGAAAGCCAACAAGTGCCATACCAATAGCGAAAGAAACAGTAGCAGAGACAACGGTAGCAACCAGACAAAAGATAGTTGCCGGTAGCAAGAAAAGTGCACAACCAAGAGTGCCGAAAGGTAATGCGAATGGTCTCGCCAAATTAGGATAATCAATACGCAGTTTGACCAGTGCCCCGTACACGAGAACCATACGTAGACAATATAAGCACTGACAAAGTGCCACAACCTCACCAAACTCCATAGATACAGAAAACACCAACGTTACCGTTGCATTAAGCAAAATTGCTGGAATTGGTGTACCAATGGTTGGATGATAGTAACCAATAATACGCGAGATCTTTTTGGGAAAGATCTGCATCGTACCCATACCAGCGAGAACTCGACTCGTGCAGCACATGGATGTAAGTGTAAAACCCAATCCACTCACAATAGCTCCTCCAAATAAATAATATCTGAGCCAATTTCCTGAAATAATACGTGCAATTTCTGGCCAACGTCCTGCTTGCCATGCTGAATAATCTTGATCCGGTCCAAGAGCACTGACACCAGCCAACATGGGAAGAAGATAGGCAACATAGGAAGAAAACATAAGTGGTATCATCATACGTGGAAGAGTTACCCTCGGATTATCCACCTCTTCCACCATAGATCCAGCATTATCAACATTGGCGTAGTTCCAACTGACCATACTGAGGAATGATCCCCAGTCAATGTCACTCACGTTTACATGGGAAATAGCTTTCCAATCCAAACCATGAGTAAATATATACTGGAATGAAAGGATCAAAAATGGTAAAAGGGCAATAAAACATACAACAATAGAAGCTGATCCAACAATTTCAATACCTGAAGCGTTAAGAATACAACAAAGAACAACGACTCCAACCTTTACTCCAATTTGACCACCTTTACTAAGTGATGCAAAGTCAGATACGTACTCCGCTGTAAGGTTTGGAAAAGTCGCATTTCCAATAAAAATAATAAAAATAGTAGAGATAATGCACATAAATGAGACATATGCCGGAAAAGCTGCATTTACCCACATCAGCACGCCGGAGTTACTTGGCACGGCTGTCGAGAGCTCCGCGACGGCAAGACCCGTTGGAAACGACCAAATCCACGGGACGAGAAGACCCACAATGAGGGTGACAAGCGGCCCGGCGGCACCAACGGTGTCCTCAAATCCATATCCGCCGCCGAGACAACTGGCAAACATAATGCCGAAGAGCGCCAGCACCCCAACGGAGCCGCGATGGGCGACCGCCTCCCCCGCCCGCCGCACCCACTCCGGCCGCTGAATGACTTCATGTGTGCGCCGGAGATTGGGGTGGAAGATGGGAGAGGTGTGGTGGTGTCGACGGACAAGGGTTGGAAAGTTGGGCTCCACAGGGGCACTCATTTGCAACGCTTATATATATATATATATTATATATAATATACGCACTCCTTATTGTTGTTGTTTGTATGGATGATCCTTTCCTTTCTTTTTTTATTTTCTCTTTCTTTCCTTTCCTTTCTTTTCTTCTTATTAGTGTTGTTGTTGTTGTTGTTCCTTTTTTCTTATTATTCGTCTTATTCTTGATGAATTTGATGTCGTTTAAAGAACGCGACCTCCAAAATATTTCTGTGTATATATTACCTTCTTATTTCTTTCTTTCCGCTCGTGGTTGAAAAGTTATCCAAATAACTTTTCTTTTTTATTATTTTGTCTTTTATTTTCTTTTTTTGCTCCTTGTTCTTCCTAGTTTGTTGTAAGTAACGCGTACTATTTCTCAAAACGGAAATTATTCCTTTCTGTATTTTTTTTCTTTTCTTCTGCCTTTAAATACAGATGCTTCACACTAAGCCCAATAAAGGAATAGTTATCCGTAATAAGTGTAAAAATTGGTAGTCCTTGCTTCAATCGTACACGCTGACAAAACAGACACAGATATTATCGAATTACCCACTCAATAAGAGTGAGAGAAAACGAGAGTCTATTTGAGTATGTTTATATACTCAAGTACAACTATATTTGTACTTATTGCGTGAATGAATGTTGCACGTGCACACGAGTGCGAGTTCGGCCTTTATAGAAATAGAAAAAAAAAAAAAAAAAAAAAAAAAAGAGAAAAGAAAAGAAAAGAAAAAACAAATGAAGTTGCATATCATTGGCTTTTCCAAGATAGACACACACATACACACACAAACACAGTGAGTATGTGAAAGAAACCGATCAAAGGTTAAAAAAAAACAAAAAAAAAACAACAACAACAACGACAAAAAAACAAAGTTCATGCAAGATAACAGTAAGGAAGAAGGGAATATCAAAAAATACACATTGGTATTGAACTGCAGCTCCTCATCATTAGTATCTTCCAGTGTGTATTGTTGTTGTTGTTCTTCTTCTTCTTCTTCTTGTGATCGTGATCGTGATCGTGATAGTGGTAGTTTCACTTCCTTCCTTCCATCCACTACTCTCCACATTAGACACACTCACACACACACACACACCCCTATGCTTCTCTCGTGTTCCCCAAGGATTCATAATACATAGGGGTATACAAAGAGAAACAGAAACACTAACACATCAATACACAGAGAGACACAGCAGGGACTTTCTTTCTTTCTTTCTTTTTTTCTTTGTTTTGCTTTCTTCAGTCCTCTCTTTGTTCCCTTTTCTCATTCGTTCATTCATTCATTCTTTTTTTTTGTTTCTTTGTTTGTTTTTTCTTTTTCTTTGGATTCAACAACTTCACCAAAAATAGGTCATCACGATGATGCCAATCGCTGCTCGTTCTGTTTTTCCTTCTCTGCCTCTGCCGCCTCTTCCGCCGCACGTTGACGATCTGCCTCTGCAATGAATGGTTTCAAATCCTCATTTGTCAAGATCTTAAACTCCGGCACTTTCTTTGGTAATGAACCGTAGGGGTCCAGTAATTTTTGGGTGGCCGGTGCTGGCACTCTCTGCAGTACAGCCACTTCCAGTCGTTCGGGCAATAGTTTAACGGTATCCATGGTCTTTCCAAGAACACGGAGACACAACACGATGCCTTCATCCAATGTAAGCTCCGGTTTCCAATCACGCTTTAGTAACGTTTGGGCAACTTGATCATTTTGACCAATTGCGTAGGCACGCCAGGCATTATAGTTTCCACTGGTGTCTGTGTGATAGAGTTGATATCCATGATGACGATCCCACCCTGCAAGTAAGAAAGATACACCAAATGGACGTACACCACCGTATTGGGTGTATAATTGCTTTTCATCGCAGACAAGCCGACAGAGATCTTCTGCGGCCATTGGCTCTTGATAAGTGTAGAAGTGACGATTGGCACTGAGGCGTGCGTGTTGGAGAAGTGCGTAGGCGTCTGATGTCACTCCGGCGACGCTGCAGCCGAGATGATTGGCGATTTTATACACCTTCTCACCGCTGATGTTTTTATCTTCCATATTCTCCGTGTCGAAGAGACCATTCTGCTGGCCCTTCTCTGCCCCAAGCACAATACCGCCTGTGGTGAGAATACCAATAACGGTGCCTGCCTGCGAGATGGCCTCCTCTGCGTACTCCACTTGATATAAGCGGCCTTCTGGAGAGAAGGTGGTTGTGCGGGAGTCGTAGCGTGAAGACATTGTGGAATAACAATAAAAAAAAAAAAAAGGGGGGGATTCCTAAACGGGGTTTCTTTCTTTTTTTTTTTTTTTTTTGCTTCTTGTTTTGCTCTGCTACCTTGGATTGCTTCTTCTTTTTTTTTCTTTCTTTTTTTTTTCTTCTTCTCGTTCTCTTTTTTTTTCTTTTCGTTTCTCTCTATTTTTTTTCTTTTCTTCTTCTTCTTCTTCTTCTTCCCTTTGCCTCTCGTAGTACCACACACAAGAATCAATGAGTGGAGTATTTCCCGGGTTGCTGTTTTTGTTTTATTTCTTTCTTTTTTTTCTCTTTTCGTCGTGTGACAACTTGTAGGTGAGAGAAAAAAAAAAAAAAAAAAAAAAAAAAAAAAAAAAAAAAAAGGCAACAAATTGAGAGAATAGCCAAAATAAAAGGCATTCACCCCCAATTGACAGCAAACAACATACGATTCATACACATTAACAACAGCGCACGCATGCGAACAAGAAGAAAAGAAAAAAGAAAGAAGAAGCAAACACACACACACACACACAGAAAGAAAGAGAAACACAGATCAACTTTATACATATATATAAGAAGACTATTTCTTCCCTTTTACGGTGAACTCTCTCTTTCTCTCTCTCTCTACTCACACCAGGGGTGATCGAAAGCCCGCTGCTTCTCCCGCTCAATCGCGCCCTCCTTCTCCACAACCCACCACAACCCCCGCGCGGTGTCCTCCGGCAGTCCAAAACTGCGGGCGACGGCGTACAGTCGCTGCCGCTCCTCCTCCGGCACTTTATGCCGCCGGTGAAAGGCCGCAGCCCGCATCGCATCATACACAAAACAACGCACTTCAGGTAAATCACCCAGTTGCTCTAAAGTTGCAGTACTACTGTTACTACTACTACTATTACTATTATAATTACTATTATTATTTTGATTACTATTGTCATGGTTATTGTTGTCATTTTTAGCTCTAGAACTGTTTAGATTTGCGAGAAGGTGGTTACGGTAGCGTTCCAGATCCTGTTCGGTTCCATTGTGTCGTAGTGCCAATACCAATAATGGCTCTGAAGAACACACCAGTGCGGAGTAACCGGCCACCCAATCACGTGCGAGTCTACCACCACCGCATGCGTGAATGAGGGCTTTACAATACAACACTCGTGCCGCATCATTTTCTTCTTGTACGGTCTTGGTATCCTGTACATTCGTGCCATCCCCTTTGGACCAGGCGTAGGTGGTGCTTCTCAGCCCAAAGAGTGGAGTTGTGGAGGATCCATACAGTAGTCGGGCAATCCACGGTGAGGAGGAGCCGCAGCGAAGAGACGTTGTGGCAGAGAACACGAGAGGTGCAGAGCATACACGTCGCATACAAGAAACACCGGATTTCATTTTTTTTTTCTTTTGTTTTCCTTTTATTTAAAAAGACTGCGATCCTTGTTTGTTGTTTGTTGGTTTATTTTCTTTTTCTTTTTTTGTTTTGTATAGAGATGAGCAAACGGAGGCTTTTTTTTCTCCTCCTTCATCAAGCATATATATATATATATATATATATATGTTAATGTAACGAAACGAATGAAAATAAGAATAAAAAAAAGGGGGAAAGAAAAAAGAAAGTGAGAGAAAAAAAAAATAGAAAGAACAGAGAAGGAAGATGATGGGAAAGAGGATTCCTCAATAGTTTATAATTGGTTCACAGCACACCGGAAGTACACCCACTCCTCCTTCATCCTTGAGGAGTACTAATATATATATATATATCTTCCATTCCATTCCATTCCACTTCTTTTTCTTCTTCTTCCTTCTGAAGAAAATAACACACCTACACTACTTTTTAATTTCTTCTTCTGCTCGCCTCTCTTGTACACCCAAACTATGCATCTTATCGTAATCCCACACACCGGGTGGTGTGTTCACATCCTCAATCGCCCGCAGCACCGCCCTGGCGAGGACATCCACATGCATAGGTGGTGTACACATACCGTATGTGTGCAGTGGCCGCAGGGCGTATTCCATCGGGCGGCCAATCAGTGCGGTGGGGCCGTTGCCGTAAACAAATACACCCGGCCGCAGGACAACGGCCCGCCCGGGGAGATTCTCCAACACCGCCCGCTCGGCAATCCGCTTGCCGTAAAAGTAACCCCGCCAGAGTCGCCACTGCGGGGATAGCGACAGTGGCAGGGCGAAGGTAGAGGATTGGGCCCGCGATTGCGAGGAGCGCAGTGGCTCTGCGGAGATGAGGACCATTCGCTGGATGGACGGACCGCGTGTATACACCGCGGCGGCGATGTTCACATTCGCATCCCCACACACCCGCCGTGCCTCCACGTGATCGTGTGTTCTCGCCCCAATGCAACTCACAACGGCTGTGGTGTCGGGGTGATCGGCGATGAGGGCCAACACCTGCGATCGACTGGTGGCGTCTAAAGAGACAAACTCCAGCGGAGGTGTAAAACACTGCAGGCGTTCTTCTTTATTATTATTATTATTACTTTGATGATGATGTTGGGCCTCATCATTACTGTTGGGATCCCCCTTGTGGTTACTATTCGGATGATCACTATCATGATGAGAATGATGGTAGCCGTAGTAGTACTGTTGCAGGGCGGCGTCTAGAAGAGGAACGCCGGGTTTTGGCACTCCGCCGCGAGTGGCGCAGACAACACTCCAGCCGCTCTGCAGGGCATTGTGTAAGACATGTGAACCCACAAAGCCAGTACCACCTAGTAACAGCAATTTCTTTCGGCCCACCATCTCTCTATTCCCCGTTTATACAGATATGGAAAGTGTCTGTCTGTATATATATATATATATATATATATATATATATATTTATTGGGGATTAATAATGTATATTATATATACAAGGTTCAAACGCTATTGGGTGTAGTATTGGATGTATTTTGTTTGTTTATTTGCTTCTTTTTATTTAAATAACTCTTTTTCTTCCTCTTCGTCTTCTCCTCCTCTTATATGATCTCTCTGATAGTCACCAAATACCCACAGATATATATATATATATATATATATATATACCTTTAGAGAGAGAAAGAGAGAAAGAGATAGCGAGAGGGTCACCTGTGCAACTCCTCCCCCCACTCAGCTCTAATCATTTAATAGTGGAGTAGAAGTGAGAGAAATCAATAATAAAATAAGCAACAACACCTATATGAACAAATACACATTATCAGTACAACTATACATATGTATAGATGAGTACATGCATAAACAAGTACAGGTATATATTTACTTTTTTTTTTTTGTTAATGTGCTGTCCATCCATGGAGTAATATTGTTCACTTATATGGAGACACACGTGTACACACATCAAATAGATAGATAGATAGATAGATGGGGTTTAGGAGTAAACAACAACAACAAAAAAAAGTAAAGAAAACAAACAATATTCTCCGCATCAATTTGTCGTGGCAAACAAGTGTTTCTGCGTCCTTTTTTTATCTTCTTTTTTTTTTTTTTAATCCCTTTCTCCCGTCCTTCTTCTTTTACTTCTCTTTCCTTTTTTTTTTTTATCATTATTATCATTTCTTTCTCCGATTGTCTTCTTTGTTTTTTTTCTTCTTTTTTAGTTCTTCAGTTCCTGCTCTCCACCTAAGCCCAGTGCGGCAGAGTGAGAGAAAGAGAGAAAAGAGAAGAAATAAGATGGGAGAACCCTCCAATAGCAACAAGCAAGACGATCATTTAAGCATACTCACCACCACCACCATTATTATTATTTTTATTACTAACGGCAATAGCAAAGATACACAAATAATATATATATATATATATAGAATTACAGAGACATGTAAGCAGGGCTATATTGCCAACATCCTCACCATCCTAATCCCATGCATACAGATAAATGTTTTCTTTTTCTTTTTTTTCTCTTTCAGCGTTATTTTTTCATGTTTTTCCTTTTTTTCTTTTCTTCTCTCTTCTCTTCTTTTCCCCCCTTTTTTTCCTTTCAGTTCCGTCCATCCGGCAAAAAGGAAGAAGTGGAGATGGGAATCTGTACGGAAACTAGAATGAACACACCAGGTTGGGAAGAAGAGAAAACACACGAAAAACAAAAATAACAGCAAGAAA